CGCTAGGTCGGGTTTCACCCGGTGCGGCGCTTCGTAGTGTCACCCCCCCCCCCCCCAAAAAAAAAATGAAACAAAGTATATATATATATATATATATATATATATATATATATATATATATATATATATATATATATATATATATACATATATATATATATATATGTATCTATCTACATATGTGTGTGTGCAAATATACGTCACATAAGCGTACACGTATGTGTATAAGCTTTAATCACTGCAGACTTAATAGTAACGATAGTTATCTATAGTGTGTTAATAATAGAGTTGGGTGTAGCACTGTTTTCTCTAAAGTTGGCAGGTTCGCGTCTTGGTGTCACCCACAACACCCCCCCCCCCCCTTGTAATAATTGTCGATTTGCATTTAAAAGACTATTTAACTTTAATTAATTATTAATGGAGCTGGCAAAAAAGCATTTTTCTTCTGTACATTTTGCAATTTTTTGCCTTGGTGTCACCCACTAAATGGTATCACCCGGAGCGTCCCACATCCACCGTCCGGCCCTCGCTATGCCGCTGGTTAAGTGTTTTGTTTAAGAATGAATAGTTTTTATTGTAAATGAAATCAAATGCTATTACTTTGTCTTTAAACAAAGCATATTTTGAAATATAATTATATATATATATATATATATATATATATATATATATATATATGTATATATATATATATATATATATATATATATATATATATATATATATATATATATATATATATATATATAAAATAGAAAGAACTACGTTTGTTTAGCCGTAAAACTAGCGTTACTTATTTAAATTAAATTAATTTAAAAATATAATGTGTGTACTCTTTAAGGGAATCTAACAATGGCGTTGCTAACATTTAAACATTATCAGTAAACATGTACCGTTTGTTGGAGATTATTTTCCATAAAGCTACCAAAATAAATAGATGCAATGCTACTAATTTAAAAAATAAACTAGAAAAACAACAACGAAAATCTTCAGTTTAAAGGTATAAAAAATTTCTTAAAACTACAGGCGCAATCCATGAAAGGACAAGAACAGTTTGGTTCGCAAGTGTGTTATCATGGTTGTTGTACAAGGTAAGCTAAATGAGAATGCATTTTTTTAAAACGTGTTTAAAAAAAAACTTTCACTTTGTAGCAAAATTGATACAATATGAAACAGAATATACTTATAAAACCAAGAGGGCTTGGTCGGACGAATGAGAGTATGACTGTAAACCCGAAAGTCTCAAGTTTGTACCCGGGGCTCGAGTCCGTAGGATGCCCTTGAGTCCATCCAGCTATAACGAGTACCTTACTTCCGTTCGGGAAAATGATTGAGCATAGAACTGGACATACTTTTTCTTTATATCCCTGAGTCACAGAAACAGGTGATCTCTGCATCGATTGCCCAATTGATCTCCAGGTTCGAAAGGGCAATTTTACCTTTGCTTACAAAGTGTGCAGTTGAGGTTACTTGAATTCGTGTGTGAACTGTGTGACTACTCTAGAATTACCGGAGTCACATCACGGCAGACATTTGTGGGTTATGTGTAAGCAGGGCACATGTGACAATTTAACAAGAGCAACATTAGTAAGCGCTGTCTACTTCATAATTTTGCTGTTAGATAACAGTTACCAGTGGCGTAGCGAGGTTGGGTGTCACCCGGTGCGGCACTTAATGGTGTCACCCCTAGAGGCGTAGCGACAAACTTTCAAGTTTTCTATTTGCACCACCCCCCCCCCCCTCAAACTTTTGATTTGCACCCCCCCCTCAAGTTTTCGATTTGCACCCCCCCCCCCTCAAGTTTTCGATTTGCACCCCCCCCCTCAAGTTTTTCTTTATATATTTTGCCTTGGTGTCACCCCCCTAAATGGTGTCACCCGGTGCGGTCCGCCCCCCCCCTCGCTACGCCCCTGACAGTTACTACTATATTTGGGGAGAGGGGGTTGCAACCCTCTTCACCAACCTTATCCATTGGTTGACGTAATCTTATTTCCACCAATTTAAATATTGTTTTTGTTTGTATATCGATTTCATCACCTTTCAAAAGCTTGGTTCATTCTTTTTTTCATTACAGTGAATACGACTACGTTACTTTCGACACGCTAAAAGACATCCGGAATAACACTGTTACTTTGGTCAAGTTCTCGGAGAGGGCTCAATATTTCTATACAGAAACATGCACGTAAGTTTACACAACCAAACGCTCTCTTGTACCAGTGCCCGTCAATAGGATATTACGTCGTGCTATTCGGTGATAGCGATGTTTTCATGTTAATGTTCTGCTTTGTTGTTTATACTTTCAAACTGTCATTAAGAATAATATTATTGCTTCGATTTATATTTTCAAAATAAATAAATACATAATATTCATTCACAGGCAAAGTCCCAGATGTCTGTTCAATTGCCAGTGTCATATGGTTTATATACTGGAGGAGGCAGTTGTCTACAGTAAGGTATACGGGGATCTAGCAACACTGACGTATGTCTGGGTCCCAGCCTTTTGTCGATGTTACAATCACGGAGGTGTCAGACAACAAGAGGAGACTTTTGCTTCTCCCGACACCATTTCAAGAAACGAACTTTAGTGGATGTGTTGTTGTTGTTGTGATTTTTTTTGTGGTGCTTTCTGGTATTTTTTATATATCTTTTTGTAGTATTCGACCTTGCACGACAATATATTACTACATAGCCAACAAATACTAACTTTAAAAATGCAGACACAGTTGTTCCCCGCCATCAATCTAACCTTCCAATAAAGCCCGAACAAGACACCTAAACAATGCCCTACTCAGAGGCGTAGCGACGAGGTGGGGGTACATATGTCCCCGGGCGCCGACCCTAATGGCGCCAAAATGGGTTGAAAAAAAATGTAAAAGCTCATTTTAGCTGCAGCTTTGAATTATAAATATATAAAATATATGAGGGGGGGGGCGCCAAATTAAAAGTGTGTCCCCGGGCGCCGGGAGGGGGTCGCTACGCCCCTGGCTCTACTACATCGTGAACAGGTCTTGAGTTAGCTCTTGCAATAAGCTCCACGAGAATAGGAATTAGATTTTGGTCGACGATCCAACACAGTCTTAAAAAAAAATTCCTTAGGTAACCACTACTACACTAATTACATCCCTTCCATTGGCAGTGTCACCAACTCCCTATTTAGCTTGCTCGGACTTCTTAGGAGGGTGGGAGGATGGGGCATTTTGAACGTCCGATGTGTGTGTGTGTGGGGGGGGGTATCTGAAAGGAACTCTGAAACATGATGAACTCTTCAGTGCATGCTTGAAGAACTGTGTATTGCTGACGTGGCGAGTAGATCGCCTTGTATCCAAACACCGTGACTAAGATCAGGGGCGTAGCGAGGGGAGGCGGGTGGTGCTGACCGCACTGGGTGACACCATTTAGGGGGGTGACACCAAGGCAAAAAATAGCAAAAACTTGAGGGGGGGTGCAAATCTAAAGTTTGAGTCGGGGGGTGCAAATCGAAAGTTTGAGGGGGTGCAAATCGAAAACTTGAAAGTTTGTCCCCGGGAAGGGTTGCTACGCCTCTGGGGGGGGGGGGGGTGACACCATTAAGTGCCGCACCGGGTGACACCCGACCTCGCTACGCCACTGACTGAGATTATGGCATAATATGCACTGCGCAGATGTGGAAAAGAGTGGGAGTATCCCCTTATGAATTGATAGGCGAAGGTTTTGTAAATAATCTACATGTGCCCTGCGAGACGAGTTTACAACCATAACAAAACAAACACATTTTATGTTTTATTAATTAGAAGCTTATAAACGTTTGTTTATATTGTAGCTTATTTATGTTGCTTAGTGATTTTTTTCAGAATATATTTTATACTTTTATAACAAATGTGAATTGAGCTCCATTTTTAGTTTCTCGTATACGAAGTATAGAGGAAGTATTGTAATCGTGCAAAAAAAAATCGAGTATTTTTTTTTTTTTTTTTTTGCAAATCTCGACGTTTTACACCTCCCTGAGTCGGAAAAACATAGTTTAGCAATTTTGTCGGTATGTCTGTGTGTGTCTATGTGTGTCTATAAACACGATAACTTAAGTACCGTTACAGCTAGGTTGATGAAATTTCATAAATAAGTATTATATCAAAAGTCTATAACTTGAGTACTTTTTCAAATAGATAAATGAATTTTAACAAATAAAAGTAAAAGATCTAATTCTCTGCCTTCTGTCAAATTTTGAGTAATTTCCGTTGACAGGAAGTAGTAATTTAAGCTATTTCCGATTTCTCAAAAAACGCATGTGAATTTATAAACTACTAAAAATATTCATCACTATTATACACAATTTGCTTGGCGTTATACAAATAAAAAAGTAAAAAAAAAATACAAGTTTTGTTATTATTTCACACATAATTCAATATAGTGGCTGGAATATATTTTGAGCTTCCAAATGTTATTGAATTGAGTTTCTGTACAACTAAGTGCTGAGTAGGCCGCGGATGTATGTCGTCTGTATGACTGCTGTATGACTGCTGTATGTCGGCTGTATGATCAGTAAGACTATACCAGCTATGTACCTTATGCATGTATCTTTTCACGGTACTCACATTATAGACTCTCAAGAAGTAAACACGTCAAGTGTGTAAATGTTTGATTTACTGTTTGTTTTTAGATGGGAAGGTGTGGTCGAGCAGTAGAACCCACAGTAACTATCATGAAAGTCCCGAGTTCTGTACACCGGATCGAGTCAGTAAAACGTCCCTGGGCTCACGTGTTGCTAAAAATAGAAGCAGCGGAGCTTACCTACAATATCTATTTATAAACCAGATCAAAGAAATAGATAAATACTTCTTCATATAGTACTAATGGTACTGGTTAAGTTAAGAAATTAAAATATTACTGGTAAAGAAGTCGTAGTTGTAATCATAGTGACGTATTAACTATTTCCGAACTATACACTGGTTATCTATAACACAACACACAATAAACATTAAAATATTTTAATGATCAATTTCATGAAATAATACCAACGTGACATTGCGTAACATTTGAGGCCATCGAAATTAAATAAATATTTTAAAAATAAAATATTTTCATTTTTCAGTTAAAATATAATACTAAATCGTAGTGTCTTTACGTCATTACGCTCAAACTGAACCATATTCTTTTATACATAAATGTTTTACATACATAACGCGTTCATAAAATACAACCCACACTTCATATTTATATCACTCAATGAAATATCACATTCATAAACCAACATTTTATCTCACTTTCTCAAATATCATATACATAAAATCAACAATAAATCGCTGAATTATTTGCGCTTTCTAACAGTCATGCCTATCCAACCAACTTACTTTAACACTTATCTTAAAACTATTCCCTAGACACAAACAGCCGGCTGTTCTACAACTCATCTTTAGACAATTCCCCAAACACAAACAGCCAGCTGTTCTACAACTCATCTTTAGACAGTTCCCCAGACACAAACAGCCGGCTGTTCTACAACTCATCTTTAGACAATTCCCCAAACACAAACAGCCAGCTGTTCTACAACTCATCTTTAGACAATTCCCCAGACACAAACAACCGGCTGTTCTACAACTCATCTTTAGACAATTCCCCAGACACAAACAACCGGCTGTTCTACAACTCATCTTTAGACAATTCCCCAGAAACAAACAGCCAGCTGTTCTACAACTCATCTTTAGACAATTCCCCAGACACAAACAACCGGCTGTTCTACAACTCATCTTTAGACAATTCCCCAGAAACAAACAGCCAGCTGTTCTACAACTCATCTTTAGACAATTCCCCAGACACAAACAACCGGCTGTTCTACAACTCATCTTTAGACAATTCCCCAGACACAAACAGCCGGCTGTTCTACAACTCATCTTTAGACAATTCCCCAAACACAAACAGCCAGCTGTTCTACAACTCATCTTTAGACAATTCCCCAGACACAAACAGCCGGCTGTTCTACAACTCATCTTTAGACAATTCCCCAGACACAAACAGCCGGCTGTTCTACAACTCATCTTTAGACAATTCCCCAGACACAAACAGCCGGCTGTTCTACAACTCATCTTTAGACAATTCCCCAGACACAAACAACCGGCTGTTCTACAACTCATCTTTAGACAATTCCCCAGACACAAACAGCCGGCTGTTCTACAACTCATCTTTAGACAATTCCCCAGACACAAACAGCCGGCTGTTCTACAACTCATCTTTAGACAGTTCCCCAGACACAAACAGCCGGCTGTTCTCAAACACTGTCCTGGGCCCCCTCCCTCTTGTAGTCGATGTGGCGGCCGGGGCGTTGTTGTAGCACCTGCAGAAACTGGGCACCTGGATGTGGGTCACCTTCATGCCGTCCAGCCCAGGGTTGGTGCAGTTGGCCTTGGTGCAGACGACAGCGCTGAAGACCTGCATCGCCAGACGACATTGGCAGCCGCAAGAGTTGCAGTTTTCTGCTTGTCTGAGGATGGAAAGTTTGGGGGAAGTCTAGAGGACTGGTGGTTTTTTTAAAGGTAAGTCTATAGGACTTGTTAGCTTTCTTTATAGAAAAGTCTAGTGGCTTGATGCGTTGTTTTAAAGGAAAGTTTATAGGCTTGGTGAGTTGTTTTAAAGGTAAGTCTAGAGGCTTGGTGGGTTGTTTTAAAGGAAAGTCTAAACGACTGGTGGGTTGTTTTAAAGGAAAGTCTAGAGGCTTGGTGGGTTGTTTTAAAGGAAAGTCTAGAGGCTTGGTGGGTTGTTTTAAAGGAAAGTCTAGAGGCTTGGTGGGTTGTTTTAAAGGAAAGTCTAAACGACTGGTGGATTGTTTTAAAGGAAAGTCTAGAGGCTTGGTGGGTTGTTATAAAGAAAAGTCTAGAGGCTTGGTGGGTTGTTTTAAAGGAACGTCTAGAGGCTTGGTGGGTTTTTTAAAGGAAAGTCTAGAGGCTTGGTGGGTTGTTTTAAAGGAAAGTCTAGAGGCTTAATGGGTTTATTTTAAAGGAAAGTGTAGAAAACTTGTTAGCTTGCTTTATAGAAAATTCTAGTGGCTTGATGGGTTTGTTTTAAAGGAAAGTCTAGCGAGTCTAGTGGCTTAGTGGTTTTTTAAAAAGGTAAGCCTAGAGGACTTGTTAGCTTGCTTTATAGAGAAGTCTAGTGGCTTGGAGTTGGTGGGTTTGTTTAAAGGAAAGTCTAGAGGCTTGGTGTGTTTGTTTTATTAGAAAAATCCAGAGCAGTGGTTCTTTACCTAGGTTCGATCGAACCCCAGGGGTTCGGTGAGTCAGTCCCAGAGACACACACCCGACTCATTTTAATTCATGATCTGATTGTGTCAAAGAAGATCATAGAACTATTATAAAAGGTTTGACGAATACGCCTATGAGACAGGTGGGGTTTGGTACCTCCAAAAAGTTTGAGAAGCACTGGTCTAGAGACTTTATGTGCTCAAAGTGTTCCTTTCAGACCAAAAGATAAGAGATTCTCGTGGTCGGGTCGGTAAAACCCATGGTTGCTAATGATAAAAAAAGAACCTTTTTCCCCCCACATATCATTTTGGTTTAAAGTTCTGCTGTAACTTTTGAATTTTTTTTTTATCATTTATGTTTTTCTGATTTTACAAAGCGTTCCATAGGATTAGGACGGATAAAGTTGAGTTTTTTTTATCAAGGCGTATGAATAGAAGGTGTGGTATTCCAGCCGTTTTTAATTTCCTAAAGTGTGTTGGGTACCTATTAGAGCTGGGTTGACTCAGAGACACCCGGTACACACTCGAGTACAAAAGACCAAACTCGTGACTTTCAGGTTGACAGTCGAGCGCTCTACCACTCGACCGCCCCGTCCCTATTTGTTGGCTTGCTTGACAGAAAAGTCCAAAGAGTTTGTGGATGTTTAACTAAAAACGGTACGCGGTGCATTCGAACCCGGGTCACTTACTTGCATGTCTCTTTAAGGAAGACTTGCTTGCGTGAGTTCAACTGCACCAACGTTACGTCCTTGCCGAACAGATCTTTCGCTGTGGTGTACTGCTCGTATTCTGTCGTTCTGTATAACATACACATAAACAAAACATGTCATTAAATCAGTTTGGAGCTATGCCTAAATAATAGAGAAATACAAAAACTATTATACAACTTTATATAGAATAGGAGTTGATATACGCAAGTCGTATTTAATTTTTAAATCTTCACAAAATCAAGCAGCACGATGGCCGAGTGGTTAAGGCGTTGGACTTAAGATCCTATGGAATTATTTCCGCGTGGGTTCGAACCCCACTCGTGCTAAAATTGTATTTAAAAAAAATTGTAACCTAAATATCGAAATCAGAAAATGGGAGTTAACTCCGTAACAAAAACAATTCTTTTTCAGATTACATGGATCACCTCCCGTACATTGAGATCATTAAAACAAACATTCGAAAGAAATGTGTACTCACGATTCACAACAGCCGTGGTAGTCAACGTGTATAATAGGTTGTATAGTGGCAGCCTAGGTGAGAGAGAATCAAAGTAATTTTTTTACAGGTGTTATAGTGGAAGCCAGGGTGGGGGTGGGGTGGGGTGATGGGAAAAGGGGGGGGGGGGGGGTAGCGTAATTTTTTTTTACAGGTGTTATAGTGGCAGCCTGGGTGGGAGGAACAAAGTAAAATGTGATGGATATAGACAATTTATTAGTGCTAACAAAGTAAAATTCAGCTTGAAGGTGGGGGTCAGGGTGGTCGAGTCGGTAAAGCTCTTGGTTGCTAAACCAAAAAGTCTCCAGTTTGAACCCCTAGGGCAGATGCGGAACGAATCATTTGCCTCATAGTCTGCTCCTGGTTGGATAAAGCAAAGCCAAAAAGAAAAGCAGGCTGAAATCGGAATCAATGGCCAACATGGCGAATCACAAGTTGACACAGAATCCTTAAGGGTATGGAGGTCATCTCCCCCTACACTAGAACGAAGAACGAAAGGGGAAGCTTGAAGGCTTCATGCTTTATCTGTTCTCGCATAGTAAACACAGGAAAGTGCATCTCAATAACCATTTCATAGCAGAGGCGTAGCGAGGTGGGGGGGGGGGGGGCGTGGGATGCGGACCGCACCGGGTGACACCATATAAGGGTTGACACCAAGGCAAAAAATAGCTAAATATATAGAGAAAAGCTTGAGGGGGGGGGGGGTCGTTGCAAATCGAAAGTAAGGGGTGAAAATCGAAAGTTTGTTCCCGGGAAGTGTCGCTAAATATTAGATTAGTTACTAAAATTATTTGAAACATGAGGAGGCCATCTTTCTATGGAAAAAAATTATCGTAACGGGCACTTGATCAGTTTGTTGAGCTGTGTTCAAGAGGAATATTTACGACTTTATAGATGAAAGGGTGGGTAATCGTTAAGTAGATTGATTGTTAAAAGTGAATATTAGCCCTTTAAAGTCGATCACAAATAACACATTTTTTTTAGTCATGAATTTTGTCGACTCAAGGACAGTCGGTTTGGAAAGTGTTAACAGCTAATGCTACTAATTGTTTTTAACACGCATTTAGTCTAATCGACTTATTCTTATATCGAAATAATAAAATGTAAAAAAAAAAGGTATTTAGGGTATGTAGGCCTATATATTTTATCATTTTATTAACACTGCCTTAAGACAATTAAAATTTCGTTAAGATTGTCAATTTTTGTATTTAAATTGAAGCACGATGGCCGAGTGGTTAAGGCGTTGGACTTAAGATCCAATGGAATTATTTCCGCGTGGGTTCGAACCCCACTCGTGCTAATTTATATATTTTTTAAACAGTTCTGGCTTTAACAAAAAATCTGCCCTTAATTAAACTGTTTTTAACACGTTTTTAACACGTTTTTCTTAACTCAGCTTCGCGTTTGTGGATTTGTTTGTTTGTTGTTAAAATTGACATCGAAAATTAGCCCACTTCTGATTGCTCTACAGATCTGAAATTTGGCATGTAGGCTACTTTCGCCTAACAATTTCAGATGCAATCATAAAAACTAGCAATTAGAGACCGTAATTAACTTAATTTAATTACGCCCCAAGGACCATAAAATCGAGGACATGATTTCTAAAGATACCGACAAGACTGAAGGCCTATTGCCACAGTTACTTCGGCCGCAATCGATGTGAGCGCGCTGGCCGTGATCGTATAGCGGTTAGTACTTCGCGTTGTGGCCGCGACAACCCAGGTTCGAATCCTGGTCGCTCAAGATTTTTTTTAGTCCGTGTATTTATAAACACTTAGTCAAGTCATACCTAATCAAGTCATTAGATAAAGTAGAAAATAAACTATATAAAAAACTTTTTTAAAAACCACGTTTTTCATGTGTAGCAACGGACTAAAAAGGAGAAAATAAAATACTTAAAAAAAAACTTTTTAAAAAACCACGTTTTTCTTGTGGACTAAAAAGTAGAAAATAACTATTTACATACATTTGATGACAAAAAACGTGGGTCGGGCAGATGGGTCGGGAAATTTGATGGTGAACGTACCCACGTTTTTTGTCATCAAATGTATGTAAATAGTTATTTTCTACTTTTTAGTCCACAAGAAAAACGTGGTTTTTTAAAAAGTTTTTTTTAAGTAATTTATTATTTACATGGATTCCCTGTGAGCAGTTACTTTGTTTACTTTGAAATTTTTGATAGAAAAGACAATATATTTACCCCTATAAAAAAAGACCCTATATTTACCTCTATAAAAAAGTCGCTATATTTACCTATATAGGAAAGTCCCTATATTTACCTATATAGAAAAGACCCTATATTTACCTCTATAAAAAGACCCTATATTTACCTCTATAAAAAGACCCTATATTTACCTATATAAAAAAGACCCTATATTTACCTTTATAAAAAGACCTATATTTACCTCTACAGAAAAGACAATATATTTACCTCTATAAAAAGACCTATATTTACCTGTATAAAAAGACCCTATATTTACCTCTATAAAAAGACCCTATATTTACCTATATAGAAAAGACCTATATTTACCTCTATAAAAAGACCCTATATTTACCTCTACAGAAAAGAAAATATATTTCCCTCTATAAAAAGACCTATATTTACCTCTATAAAAAGACCTATATTTACCTCTATAAAAAGACCTATATTTACCTCTATAAAAAAGACCCTATATTTACCTCTAATTTGCTGTTTTCTTCTTGTACATCTTCCCTGAAATAGCCGGGGAAGGCTGCTAGTATTTGACGCTCTCGGCTAGAGATGTGTGTCCTGTGGAGAAGACAATCAACAGAGATAGCACCTTGTTCACTGTGTGTCGGATATTAGTCTTTCATAATAAATCCTTGAATGGTAATGAAAACGTTATCCGAGTGCATTGAACCCTATCGTCTTGTTTTAATTTCAGGTGACCGGTTCTTTATGAGCGACTGTGCTAATACGATGTCATTCTAATTTAGCTGATTTTACCCCCCCCCCCCCCCCATCTAGAGGCGTAGAGATACATTCGGGCGCCGAATATTGAACTATCAATATTGCACCCCTCCAATCCGAGTTTGGAAATGTCTCTTAACAGTTTGCTTTATTTTTTAATAAAACTTACCCTCCCTCCCCCACACACACAGAATAAAAATAAATAAAATAAAATCGTTTTATTACTTTCTTTTTTATTCTCTAAAAGTTAAGAAAGTAAAGGTGACGCCACCTGAGGCAATAAAAGCTCACTATAAGATAAATATTATTTTCAAGCAAAACTAACAGCACGATGGCCGAGTGGTTAAGGCGTTGGACTTAAGATCCAATGGAATTATTTCCGCGTGGGTTCGAACCCCACTCGTGCTAATTTGCCTATTTTTTTTTTCAAAACACTTTTTAAAAGTTCAATGTAAATGTAGACCATACGTATAACACTAGTGTGATGCTGCTTATTGACATAATAGAATACATTTACGTGTATGTCGTAAAATTATCTAACAAAAGCATTAAATTTCAAGACAAGAAACACTTTATTATGGGTACGTCACATACAATGTCACGCGGAGATTGTTAGTATTTTACAATATATTTTACATGTAATTATTTGCGTAGATTTATAGTAGCGTCCCTTCAAACTATAGTCTGTTTTAGTTATAGTGAGATTAAAAAGTAAACAAATAGGACACACAATTCTGTAGCATAGGAAATATTGGGAGGGAAGTGATATAGATAAATGTAAGGACTTAGAAGTTAGGCAGGATATAAAAGGTGGAGTTAGGAAAGTTTGGGGGCCCATTCTTTCATAAACAGCCACAGGTTACTGCCTGTTCAACAAGAAATAAAAGAAGATTTAATCGCACACGGATGTTGTTTTAATTGATAAGCTTATTCAAGTATGGACCCATCCACAAATTCACTTTGAAAAAGAGATGACGGTGGTCACCTACAATTTCTCGGGGCGCCTTACCTTTTTAAAACACCGCAAGTATACTGCTCACATACCTGTACCTCTAAACACATGTACACTCTACAGGTGTCACAATACTGCCCCTCCCCGTTACACACTTTAAATTTATTTACGTACACTCAATCACGTGATCATTTGGGAAACCGGAAAAAGGACCGGTCTTCGTCCTTGACCCAGTTAGCAGTATTAATAACACCAATGAAAAAAATAATTTACTTACGTTAAGCTAAAAATGGTTGGGAAAACGCCGAGAAACAGGATGGAGTGAAGTGCCCACATCTAATGAAACACAAGTCGAGATATGTACATGATACATTATAGTGTGATAAAAATACAATGGAATGTGAATGAAAAATTATGATATGTCATAGATACCAGTGTTTCTTTCAGGCACTTCTTCGATGCAAAAACCCTATCCACCGCCCCCACCCCCCCCCCCCTTTCCGGAAACACTGATAGATACGCTTGTAAATAATTAAATATATATGTAGGGCCTCTCTCTCTCTCTCTCTCTCTCTCTCTCTCTCTCTCTCTCTCTCTCTCTCTCTCTCTCTATATATATATATATATATATATATATATATATATATATATATATATATATATATATATGTACGTCTGTACATAGCTACTTATCCATATTTCATATCTCCATGATGTTTATCTAAACACACACACACATATATAAATATATAAATATATATATATATATATATATATATATATATATATATATATATATATATATAATGTGTATAACTTGTATATTACATGGTGACTTACCTCAAGAAATCAACTACAGATAAGACGCGTCTAGCCGGAGTATTAAGTTCACTATAACATTACAAACGGATCCCGACATGTATTTATATTATGTTTCCATATCCGTGTTGTTAGCCACTTGCCCATTACCACCGGAAGCGCTTAGTTGGCCTGAATAATTTTTTAAATACTGTCTGTTGGTGAAAATTTAACCACGTGGGTGTTTGTGTTGGGGGGTGGGGGGTAGGGGGGTGGGGTTGATTCCTAGGAATAAAATTATTGGACAATTTAAACTCCCACACACTGCTACAATTTTTATATGGACGGATACTCCTGAAACTGAAACTTTGTGGATTAATTTAGGCTTAGTTGTGTTTTTTTTTTAAATTTTCAAAGAGACATTTCTGGTTCACCATCCAACAGAGTTTCTTCCAGGCATCTCTTCTGGTGGGGTTGGGGGAGGGGGGGGGTGAATGGGCGGGAGCGTTGCACCACGAAGAGATGCCTGAAAGAAACTCTGGTCACAAAAAAACTCGTTCTACACTTGATTCTTTCTACTTAAAATCTCTACGACGCAAGAATCCTACAGCTAGACCAACATCTCTGACCAACAGCAGGGGCGTCTCCAGATTCGCGGGCTCCCCAAACAGTTTTTTCTACGAGTGGTGTGTTATGGGTCTAGTGTCTGGACGGATTCTGTTGAAGCAAAATCCAGTCTTGGCCCTTGAAACAAGTTCACCCCTACACGTCATCACATAACACGAACATAACATTGTCTTGTGTATGTGATTATAACGCTTTAGTTTTTTTACTTACAAAGATGTTATAGGCAGAGTTTCTTCCAGGCATCTCTTCGGGGGGGGGGGGGGGGGGGGGGGGAAGAGGGGGGGGGGGGCGAACGAAATGGAATTTACATAGAAAATATATACTTTTACCAGTGTGTCGTCGTCGTCCCTCCCCCCCCCCCCCCCCCCCAGAGGCGTAGCGACCCCTCCCGGCGCCCGGGGCGAACATTCAGTTTGGCGCTCCCCCATATATATATATATATATATATGTATATATATATATATATATATATATATGTATGTGTGTGCGACAGTCCGGAAAAAGATTAATAATTCAGCAGTATGATTGTCGTTCCCTAAATCTTCACTCAACGCCCATTAAATTCCCTCTAAGATGCATTGTCCTTCAAAAAATTATTAGTAATGTCAGGAAAAAAAATATTTGTAGCAGGTGCTAATTCGTTTAGCACAGTCTTTTTATGTTTTATCTTTGGATCAATCTCTGTTATGCTATAGTACATAGTTGGATTATAAGTTTGTTAGATTAAGGCCATACAATTGACTTACAATAGCAAATTATGTACACATTGGACTACGATATGGGTATTTCGTTGACTGGTTGATTGTATAAGGAAACAAGCTGAAGGAAACAACCTGGAATCAAGCGGGCAAAACAGCTCGAAGTCTTGGATGTATCAGATGTGCGCTGCCTTCTCGCACACAGTCAACAACAAATTCAGAACTAATTGTACTGGTTGACAAAGCTGTATTAACCGGTTTAATGATAGTTGCACCGCCCATGACGTTCAGATTACAATTAGCAGCGATAAAATGTGTATTAGTATTAACATTCTAAGTCGATGCGGGAATAAAATGCGTTGTCAGAAAAAATACAGTCATGCTCTATTGCTAAATATGAAATATCTTTTACTGTATGGCTCGGAGCTAGGTTAAAGACAGTGGAGAATGAAAGATGGTGGTTCGGACACAATATAAGAAAGACAAAAAATAACATCACTATGCAGGTGCTTTCCATTGGGGAAAGAGGAAGAGAAAAAGACAAAATAAGTCCTGAAAGAAATCGTTTGAAATAGAGAAAGGGAAGGCTGGGATATTACAGTTTGATCTTCATAAAAATCAAGTGATTTGACGAAGTTTCACCTACGCCTATGTTCCTTATGAAGCCGAAACGAATCAAAAGAAGTAATCAAAAGAGTTTAGAACAGTGAGTTCCATCGAACCCGAGAGGTTCAGTAAGTCAGTCTCAGGGCTTCCATGGAGTTCAAGACACACAATTGGTTTCTTTTCTAAGTGTAAAAGAGTTATCTAGTCACCGATCCTGCGCTTTTTGTTGGTGAAAAAGCGCCCCCCCCCCCCACCATCTTGGACAAAAATGGTAGAGCAAATTTTAAACGGCATTAACTCTTTTTTTTAATGTTATACAATCGTAAAATAAGCTTTAGTACAATGGGTTTCTTTTCTGAGTGATATCGCTTATTTATTCCTTAATCCGATGTGATTTTTTTCCGATTTAGTCTTCGAAAAAGCGCCCCCCCCCATCTAGGAAAGCTGGAAAGTGGTCTTTCCAGTCACTGTTTTTTAAGAATATACGTTGTACAGTTACACAATCAAGGTAGAAAATAGTTAAATCATAATGCAAAGGCTTTCAGCCGTTATATTTATTTACTTTGACTGTTTATAATTCAAAACTGCAGCTTAAAATGAGCTTTTAATTTTTTTTAGCCCTTTTGGCGCCCCCCTAGGGTCGGTGCCCGGGGCGGCCGCCCTCCCCGCCCTCCCCTAGCTACGCCTCTGCCCCCCCCCCCCCCCGAAAAATGTTGACCGCCCTCCGAAAATATCTGAGGAAAAAAAGTCTGAGAGAAACACTGGTTTTAGGACTACGAGGTAGAAAGACCTGTAGTGAAACTTTGTCAATGTGACCCATCCCCCCCCCCCCCCCCCCCACCAAGATTGCCCAGGTAAATTCGGATTGTTTCCTCAATAAAAACTCTAATTAAATACATTAAGTTTCAAATTACTAAGTTTCAAATATTTATAACCAAAGGGGAAGCTATCCAGTTTTTCTTAATAACCCAGCTAAAGGGAAGCTACCCACGACTAACCTGTGTTGTGGTACGTAAGAGTTTTAAAAAAAAAGCTAATTAAAGATTGATAAAATTCAAAGATTTGGTCTGGCTTTGATGTTAGCTAGTGCCTAGGTAAGCTTAAGTAACCGTTAAGGGAAGAGAAGGGGGGAGAGACGGAAGACCGCGTGTTGAGCTCAGAAGAGAAGGACGGCAACCGGGTCAGATTTAATTAGCCACAGAAGCTGACCTACTACACATGTGTTCTAGCGAAATCAGAGCAATGGCTAATCAGAATTGACAGGTAAACATACATCTTATTAATATTTTTTTACACTATAACTGTATTGTTCAGCAACAGATAAATTATTTGTTCATCTTAAAACCAATAAACTTGAGACATGTAATATTATTCCAAGGGGGAGAGGGGGGGGGGGTATGGTAGGCTGGCTACATGATTTCCCAATTTAAGAATAATTAGGTATACCCCCCTCCCAAAGTAATAAAAGCTATACACTTGAGTGTAAAGATAGGTTCCGGGATAAGTTATAAGTATGAATAGGGCCATGGGTTGTTTGGGTGTAAAAATAGGTCCATGGGTTATTTAGTTGTATAAATAGGGCCGTGGGTTATTTAGGTGTATAAATAGGGACATGGGTTATTTAGGTGTATAAATAGAAACATGGATTATTTAGGTGTATACATAGGTCCATGGTTTATTTAGTTGTATAAATAGGGACATGGGTTATTTGGGTGTATAAATAGGTCCATGGGTTATTTGGGTGTATAAATAGGAACATGGGTTATTTGGGTGTATAAATAGGTCCATGGGTTATTTAGTTGTATAAATAGGAACATGGGTTACTTGGGTGTATAAATAGGTCCATGGGTTATTTAGTTGTATAAATAGGATCATGGGTTATTTAGTTGTATAAATAGGTCCATGGGTTATTTAGTTGTATAAATAGGAACGGGTCATTTAGGCGTTTAAATAGGAACATGGGTCATTTAGGTGTATAAATAGGAACATGTGTCATTTAGGTGTATAAATAGGAACATGGGTCATTTAGGTGTATAAATAGGAACATGGGTTATTTAGTTGTATAAATAGGTCCATGGGTTATTTAGTTGTATAAATAGGAACGGGTCATTTAGGTGTATAAATAGGAACAAGGGTCATTTAGGCGTTTAAATAGGAACGGGTCATTTAGGTGTATAAATAGGAACATGTGTCATTTAGGTGTATAAAAAGGAACATGGGTCATTTAGGTGTATAAATAGGAACATGGGTTATTTAGTTGTATAAATAGGTCCGGGTCATTTAGGTGTATAAATAGGAATAAGGGTCATTTAGGCGTTAAAATAGGAACATGGGTCATTTAGGTGTATAAATAGGAACATGGGTCATTTAGGTGTATAAATAAGAACATGGGTTATTTAGTTGTATAAATAGGAACGGGTCATTTAGGCGTTTAAATAGGAACATGGGTCATTTAGGTGTATAAATAGGAACATGTGTCATTTAGGTGTATAAATAGGAACATGGGTTATTTAGTTGTATAAATAGGTCCATGGGTTATTTAGTTGTATAAATAGGAACGGGTCATTTAGGTGTATAAATAGGAACATGTGTCATTTAGGTGTATAAATAGGAACATGGGTCATTTAGGTGTATAAATAGGAACATGTGTCATTTAGTTGTATAAATAGGTCCGGGTCATTTAGGTGTATAAATAGGAACAAGGGTCATTTAGGCGTTTAAATAGGAACGGGTCATTTAGGCGTTTAAATAGGAACATGGGTCATTTAGGTGTATAAATAGGAACATGTGTCATTTAGGTGTATAAATAGGAACATGGGTTATTTAGTTGTATAAATAGGTCCATGGGTTATTTAGTTGTATAAATAGGAACGGGTCATTTAGGCGTTTAAATAGGAACATGGGTCATTTAGGTGTATAAATAGGAACATGTGTCATTTAGGTGTATAAATAGGAACATGGGTCATTTAGGTGTATAAATAGGAACATGGGTTATTTAGTTGTATAAATAGGATCATGGGTTATATAGTTGTATAAATAGGATCATGGGTTATTTAGTTGTATAAATAGGATCATGGGTTATTTAGGTGTATAAATAGTTCCATGGGTTATTTAGGTGTATAAATAGGTCCATGGGTTATTTAGGTGTATAAATAGGTCCATGGGTTATTTAGGTGTATAAATAGGTCCATGGGTTATTTAGGTGTATAAATAGGTCCATGGGTTATTTAGGTGTATAAATAGGAACATGGGTTATTTAGGTGTATAAATAGGAATATGGGTTATTTAGTTGTATAAATAGGATCATGCGTTATTTAGGTGTATAAATAGGTCCATGGGTTACTTAGGTGTATAAATAGGAATATGGGTTATTTAGTTGTATAAATAGGAACATGGGTTATTTAGTTGTATAAATAGGAACATGGGTTATTTAGTTGTATAAATAGGATCATGGGTTATTTAGTTGTATAAATAGGATCATGGGTTATTTAGGTGTATAAACAGGAATATGGGTTATTTAGTTGTATAAATAGGAACATGGGTTATTTAGTTGTATAAATAGGATCATTGGTTATTTAGGTGTATAAATAGGATTATGGGTTATTTAGCTGTATAAATAGGAACATGGGTTATTTAGGTGTATAAATAGGGCAAAGGGTCCTTTATGGTTCATAAATAGGTACATGGGTTAGTTAGGTGTATAAATAGGAACTTGGGTCATTTTGGTGTATAAATAGGAACATGGGTCATTTAGGTGTATGAATAGGGACATGGGTCATTTAGGTGTATAAATAGGAACAAGGCTCATTTAGGTGTATAAATTGGTTTATGGTTAGTTAGGTGTATAAATAGATCCAGCGTGAGTGTTAGGATTATGTTGCTAATGTATATCTCTATAAAAAATGTCAGTAAGACTAATCTAGCTAATTACTACAATCATTAATGTCATGTACACGCCATTTCCCGTTTAATGTATGTAGGCCTATGTATCGGTCGCTGCGGTTTAGTGTTATTACGCGTGTTTTTTCATTCCTTGGGCTCACTAAGTAAACAGCAACAGAAACTTACTTATCCTTTTAAATCAGGACACAGTGCATTTAAAAAGCCTATTAATAAGTTTTTATTGACATCAAGTGCCTGATTTCCTTGTTAAACACTGTTGACGTCACAACAACGTCACACGGTAAAGGAGGAAGCTGTTTATTTTTTTTTTCAAAACTGGGTGCATCGATTGAATAGCGATGGAGTTTCCCCTGTTCGATGACGTCACTCAAGCCTTGCGTGACTAGGTCGCTTTAAATAAGCATGAGGTGGCTAGAACATGGTGCGGGATTTTGCTAGAGAGGAGAGAGGAGGTATTTGTATCGGTATAATAATAAATGTATAAAGTTTATTGGTTTTACGATTAATATTATTTTATCTGTTGCTGAAAAATATTATAGTTATAGTGTAAAAATAGTAAGAAAAATCTTGAATATTAAAACAATCTTAACAGCGAACAATGTGTTATAAAAATTATTAAATTAGCAACATGATAAGTGAATTAGAGAAACTAGCAACTACAAGATATACAGTTTTTAAGGATAAATGGTTGGATAATTTCATTTAATAAGAATGTTATTTTAGATAATGTAAGTTTTAACGATTTTTTTTTTTTGAAAATTAAAAAAAAAATCTGCAGTGGATGTATAAGATTTTTAAAACATTTATATCTAAAAACAATTTTGTCACTTTAATTTAAGTGAATTAATTAAACTATTTTTTTTACCATCAATTTAACATGTTTTCAAACAATGTTCTAACGTTTAGACATATATATAGTTTACCGCAAAATATGAAGAATATTTAAAGGTAAATCTACAAGTGTCAAAGGTCACGGGACGTGACTAACATTACACGGCCCCGTACGATTAGTTAACGTCTATTTTTAGACCAGTAGAAATCGTCTGCAACATATTGTTTTTCAACAAGTTCACATCTTCGATTTTGTTACACAACTGTGTGTGTATGTGTGTTTGTGTAGCATGACACTCACTGGGTCACACGTGTTACTTGTGTACTCACACATGTAAACTATTCCTGGAATGCTCAGCTTGCCGGTAAGTCCGCCACAGCCCTCATCATAATTTATAGATTTTTTTTCTATCTGGCTAGTTTTTATATTTTTGTCATCTCTAGCATGTGAAACTAGGGTGAGATTTTATTTCTTGTAAAAGGGAAAATAATTCGAATTATATAATTATTTGATTTCTGTTGATATGTTGATTAATATATTTCTATATCAGGTAGTTGGTTTTATCAATATTTTATCAGTTTTCTAATTAATATGTTGTGTAATTTGGCAGCTGGCCAAATAAGAATGTAAAGAGTGTGTTTGTGTGTTTTAAATCTCGAAACAAGGTGTCTAAATTAGTTTATCTAGGAAAACTTTGAAATATATTTGTTAGATTATTTTATTGATATATGCATTGTTTACATTTTGAAGGTAAGTTAATTTATTTTTACGATGGCTTCGAGCGTTTTAAATATTTTTTTTTACTGTGCCGGTATTGTTGCTCATAAATTGTTAGCGTTATGGCTGAGTTTAGGGATCATCATTATATTTGCCAGTCAGTTCGCAAATCTCACGGGGCAGATGAAATAGAGTTTATCTAGAAATATTTAGGGATTGTGGGGTCAGTAATATGTTTTATCACTTTAAGTTTTTCCGCCTTAGGTAGCCATCAGAGTTGGGTGGTCTAGAGTCAGCTACCTATCAGAGCTAGGTAGACTAGAGAGGTGTCCAGCTGGGTGGACTAGAGCCAGGTACTCATTAGAGCTGAGTGGACTATAGCCAGGTACTCATTAGAGCTGAGTGGACTAGAGCCAGGTACTCATTAGAGCTGAGTGAACTAGAGCCAGGTACTCATTAGAGCTGAGTGAACTAGAGCCAGGTACTTATTAGAGCTGAGTGGACTAGAGCCAGGTACTCATTAGAGCTGAGTGGACTATAGCCAGGTACTCATTAGAGCTGAGTGGACTATAGCCAGGTACTCATTAGAGCTGAGTGGACTAGAACCAGGTACTCATTAGAGCTGAGTGGACTATAGCCAGGTACTCATTAGAGCTGAGTGGACTATAGCCAGGTACTCATTAGAGCTGAGTGGACTATAGCCAGGTACTCATTAGAGCTGAGTGGACTAGAGCCAGGTACTCATTAGAGCTGAGTGGACTAGAGCCAGGTACTCATTAGAGCTGAGTGGACTATAGCCAGGTACTCATTAGAGCTGAGTGGACTATAGCCAGGTACTCATTAGAGCTGAGTGGACTAGAGCCAGGTACTCATTAGAGCTGAGTGGACTAGAGCCAGGTACTCATTAGAGCTGAGTGAACTAGAGCCAGGTACTTATTAGAGCTGAGTGGACTAGAGCCAGGTACTCATTAGAGCTGAGTGAACTAGAGCCAGGTACTTATTAGAGCTAAGTGGACTAGAGCCAGGTACTCATTAGAGCTGAGTGAACTAGAGCCAGGTACTTATTAGAGCTGAGTGGACTAGAGCCAGGTACTTATTAGAGCTGAGTGGACTAGAGCCAGGTACTTATTAGAGCTGAGTGGACTAGAGCCAGGTACTCATTAGAGCTAAGTGGACTAGAGCCAGGTACTCATTAGAGCTGATAGGACTAGAGCCAGGTACCCATCAGAGCTGGGTGGACTAGAGTCAGGTACTCATTAGAACTGGGTAGACTAGAGAGGTGCCAGCTGGGTGGACTAGAGCCAGGTACTTATTAGAGCTGAGCAAACCGAGCCCTAGACCACCCTCTTTTTCGTCTGTTTACACACTCAGATGATTTGACTCAACTAGACATGTTAGAAAAAACACAACTTATTTTTCTATAGTTGCTGCACACTATTGAAAGAAACAAACTGTAGACCAAAGTCTCACGTTTGAAGTGTGGCCTTGTATGTCGTAGTGTGTCGGAGTGTGGTGAGTGTCGTGTTCCTGTACATCGTTATCTCAATTCTCCAGTCTGGTGGGTTAAAGCTGTACCATAGGGTCGGCTCTGTGTGACCTCACTCACGGGTGGGGGTGGGGGTAGAGGGTAGAGGTTGCGGGTTTCCAAATGTTAGGACTATGAGCTACTTATTATAGAGGTAGTGGCTTTATTAATGTAACGTAGCGTATGATTTGACTTAATTCTCTGTGGCCACTGGGGAGCAAAGGGCTGCAACCACACCCAGTGGCGTAGCCAGGATCGTCTCAAGGGGGGGGGGTTCCAATTTTTACCCGGGGACAAACTTTCGATTTGCAACCCCCCCCCCTCAAACTTTCGATTTGCACCCGCCCTCATACTTTTTATATATGTGACGAGCGAACATTTATCCTGCCGACAACGCCAATTGTAACGAGCCAACAGTTACCATGCTCGCAACGCCACATGTAATGAGACCTAATTGCCTGTAGTGCCACGTGTTAACGAGTTTAACCACTCATTCTAGACAACATTGACCACAGTATAGATACTCAAGATGCAGGTTCGCTATTGATCCTTTATTACATGAATCAAGAAATGCTTCATAATAACACAATAAATCAACAGGAATGCTTCTCAATAATAGTCTGAATCAACTGACCCCTAACAGTCCTTCACTAGGCTTTATATAACTGAATCCACATGTCTATAATCCTCCTTAACACAATACGGCTAACCCGTTCTATAACCGACTTGACATAGTCACACAGACTGACTGATCTAAGCGAGCGATGAAGGAGGCAAGAGGGGAAAAGGGCGAGCTCCGCCGTCCCCCCCCCCCCTATTTATCCCTTGAAATCGTAGTCGTACTTGTATCCATTTCCGTAATCGATACTTGTAATCGATGTCTAATCGTTACATCAGACTGTTAATTACGCCGCTTCTGTCGTACAGTCCGATTTTAATAAGCCACCTGCATCCTGTCACATCAAAGTTGACAGACCGTCTTTCGTATCGCTTCCCGAGATATTACGCCTTGGCATCAGCCAACACCTGCACTGTGACGTCAGACTGTAACACGTTATGTCTCTTGGTAACTTCCCCTAGTTACATCCACCCCTGCCTTTTTTTGTGTGTTATCAACCACAAACAACGCTTGGCAGGTGCAGTCCTTCAAAGTCCATCGCACCACCGTAAAAAAAAAAAATCCATTGTTCCACTCACTGTCAATGTCGTCACATTCGTATAAGATTGACAGTTATCCCCATTTCACATATCCAATGTGTCTACATCATCTTCCTCAGACACAAAACAGTTCTAGAATTCACATCCACCTTTTTTCGTTTGGTGCCTTCACCAGTTCACTTTTATGACTTTTTGAACAGTCTGTTTTCATACCAGCGCGACCATGAAAGAATTGATGGTTGCTGACAAAAAATTTCGTATTCTTTCTGTTTCTCAAACTTCTCCGCGGACCACTTATCTGATGGTCTACTGTCTCTCTGCTTTTGGAGGGACCGGGATCCTCATTGTTGCCGGTATCCTCCCCTTGCGTATCGCTGTTGTTCTGTTGATGGTGATATGGTTCCGGAATGGGTATGTGAATTTCCGTTATAACTTCCAGTTCCCTAATTGTCTTGGGTTTCTGTGTGTGTAACTGCTCTTCTTGCCTATTCCAATATTTCTTTAATTGAGCAATATTCGCCCACCGATCCGGTTTGGCGTGATCGATGGGTCTTATCTTAAAGGGGCCACCTGCTACTTTAGGCATCTCCACGACTTGCCATATCTCCTGTCCCCAGAGATCGTGGATTTTGTTTCTGCCTAACGGGTGGCTACGCAGTAATACCCTGTCATTCAGTTTGAGTGGCGGGTCCTTCGTCTGTATCGGCGGTTCCCTTCGCCGAGATTCATGTTCTAGTCTTTCCTGTACTACCCTGTACATTTCTCTAATTCTTCTCATATGTTCATTCACATATTCCAGTGCGGTGTATGAGCCAGTCATACTCTCCCTTTTTCCTAGGAACAAATCAAGAGGGAGTCGAGCCTCTCGTCCGAACAGCAACATGTATGGCGAAAAGCCGGTTGTGGCATGTGGTGTGCAGTTGTATAGATATACCAACTCTGGGAGAAAATCAGGCCAACGTTTTTTCTGTTCAGGTTCTAGCGTACGCAGCAAATCATGCATGCTGCGGTTGAACCGTTCACACTGTCCGTTTCCTTTCGGATTAAATGTGGTTGTTCTAGATTTGTTGATCCCGTAGTGGCTGCACAGTTGGTTAATTACTTCTGACTCGAAGGCCCTTCCTTGGTCAGAGTGTAATTGTCTTGGTATGCCATATTTGATGAACCAATGTTGTAATAAGACCTTTGCCACTGTTTTGGCGGTCTGATCTCGCGTGGGCACCGCCACCGTCCATTTGGTGAATACATCAGTCATTACCAACACATGTTCCGTCCCATCCGATGATTGCTCCAACGACGTAAAGTCCATAGCCACAATCTCTAGTGGTTTTGTCGCTAGTAGGTGTCCTGATGGCTGTCTCATTTTGACAACTGGCATTTTCGCATGCTGACACCTCACACAAGCCTCACAATGGCGTTTGACCTCCATTTCCATATTGGGCCAGTAACACCTCCGTCGTAATATTTTGTGGGTTCTGTCCTGACCCTGGTGTCCTGCCCTGTCATGTGCCAACCTTAGCACTTCTCCTCGTAATTGTCCCGGCACCACCACCTGGTGTATTGTGCCATCAATTTGGTCATGAATTCTCCGCATGAGAACACCATCCTTTATACTGAGACGGTTCCACTGACTCAGTATTTTCTTTGTTTCTCGACCAAATTGTTCCCTTTCCCTTCTTCCTGGGAATTTTTGTTCCTGGACGTGTTTCAATAGCGGTTGTAAGCCACTATCCGTTCTCTGGGCATCTCTTATCTTTTTGTGATTAAGGCAATTAAAATCACTACTGTCCATATGTTCGGGTTCCGTGGATATGTGCTCCACCCCGGTCTGCCCGTTTTGCATCACTTGAATCCCATGAGGGATATCTGTTGACGCTCTGACCTCACATATTCCTGTCAGTGTTTCTTCCTCATCACCCGGTCTCTCGTAAGGATTCCTTGATAACGCGTCAGCATTACCATTGGACTGCCCTGGGCGATATTTTCTCTCCAGGTCAAAGAGTGCCAATTCTGCTGCCCATCGCTGTTCGATGGATCCCAACTTTGCTGTAATTTGAAGTTCTTTTTCAATATCTGATAATTTTTCTAGTTTGCCAACACTGTTCTGTTGTCCACTATTTTTATTTACTTCTTCCGATAACAGACACTCTAAAGATGAACATTTCTCCTGTGCTTTTAATTTGCATGAACTTTTCCTATCCAGTTTCCTGGTTAGACTTTGAATTCCTTTATTAAGTCTACCAATTTTCTTCTTATCATCATTTTTCTCTACCAACAAATTGTTCACTTGAAACTTTTCAACATTCAAGTTCATTTCACAGTTCATTTTTTTCATTCGTTGTGTTTTGCCTTTCTTTTTCTCCTTACTGTGTTTCTTTGTCATTTTGTTTACTAAGTCATTACCTCGCCGCTCTGTAGCCTTGACCTGCCGTACAGAGGGCGATCGTTTCACCGGACAGTACCGTGCCATATGTCCGGGTTGTGAACAAGACAAACAAATTGGTCTACCGTCTGCCGTCCATTGGAGTGATGGCTTGGCAGGACGCGGCCGTCCAACCCGTCCCTGTTTTGTCCCGTTCTTTTCCTGATTCTCAGCTGTTGACCTGCTTTCCAACCACTTCAAGCGTTGGTCAACCTTCTCTAGGTGGGCCAACAGTTGAGCCATCATGGTCTCCATCGTGTCGGCCCCTGTGGGTGGGGATTGTCTCTGTTCAGGCACAGAGACTTTGTCCACCGAACAGTTCGATTGGTCCTCATCCTCGGACCTGCGGATCGCTGAGTTCCTGACCTGAAGGAAGGTCAACTGCTGGTCTCTGTGGACCTCCTCTTTCAACTCTCTCTTTAAGATCGGGGTTGCTAGCCCCTCGATGAAATGGTCCCTCAGTAGGCGTACATCAATGTCCGGTGATTTGCCCTTTACCAAATCAAAGGCCCTGTTCATCCTGTGTGAGTACTCCATCACACTCTCCGCCATTCTCTGCTTTAAGCCCACGAATCCCGATAGCAGTTGCACTCCCGACCGTCTCTCCCCAAAGGTCTCCATAATCAGATCCAGCACCTTATCTGGATCTGATTGGACGGTCCTATCGTGGCACTTAACCTCTGCCCTAACCGTTTCACCTATACTACCCATCAGCAGTCTTAATCTTTCCTCTGGTGACATATGTCTCGAGGCCCAGGCCGCTTTGACCTCTTCACTGAACCTGTTGGTTAAAGTTGGATCTCCGTCCCCGTAAAATTTGTTAATATGGGACTCTCTGGGTAGGACCACTATATGGGTCTGCTTCTCGTCCAGAGTAGACATTTTCTTCCTTAAGTACTAAAAAAAAAAGAGTTCTTTCTTACCGTGTGTGTATGAAAAATTTTTCCTCGTTCCTCAATTTTCACAGTTCCTGAATGTCCGAATTCACACACACACTAAACACAGTTATGCACAAGGTTGACTATAGGTGCCTTAAACGGCAAGTCTAGTTGAATTCATCCTGATCGCAGCGCCAATTGTGACGAGCGAACATTTACCCTGCCGACAACGCCAATTGTAACGAGCCAACAGTTACCCTGCTCGCAGCGCCAATTGTGACGAGCGAACATTTATCCTGCCGACAACGCCAATTGTAACGAGCCAACAGTTACCATGCTCGCAACGCCACATGTAATGAGACCTAATTGCCTGTAGTGCCACGTGTTAACGAGTTTAACCACTCATTCTAGACAACATTGACCACAGTATAGATACTCAAGATGCAGGTTCGCTATTGATCCTTTATTACATGAATCAAGAAATGCTTCATAATAACACAATAAATCAACAGGAATGCTTCTCAATAATAGTCTGAATCAACTGACCCCTAACAGTCCTTCACTAGGCTTTATATAACTGAATCCACATGTCTATAATCCTCCTTAACACAATACGGCTAACCCGTTCTATAACCGACTTGACATAGTCACACAGACTGACTGATCTAAGCGAGCGATGAAGGAGGCAAGAGGGGAAAAGGGCGAGCTCCGCCGTCCCCCCCCTATTTATCCCTTGAAATCGTAGTCGTACTTGTATCCATTTCCGTAATCGATACTTGTAATCGATGTCTAATCGTTACATCAGACTGTTAATTACGCCGCTTCTGTCGTACAGTCCGATTTTAATAAGCCACCTGCATCCTGTCACATCAAAGTTGACAGACCGTCTTTCGTATCGCTTCCCGAGATATTACGCCTTGGCATCAGCCAACACCTGCACTGTGACGTCAGACTGTAACACGTTATGTCTCTTGGTAACTTCCCCTAGTTACATATATATACCGAGGGGTCTATGGGGGGGGGGGTTATAACCCCCCCTAACCCCCCTGCCTACGCCACTGACCACACCTCTCCAACGGACAGCTCTCCTTATTTGAGCCCACGTGAGCCCACCGCTCTTTGCCTAATCTTCTACCGTTCTTCTCCATGATTATGCCGGCATACTTTCCTTTTTCCCTTGGGATTCCAACGAAGCATATGTAGGTTTTATAATATTAAAACGTAATAAATAAGTATAATGTTGTGTAACAATAACGTTGGGTTAGATAAAAAAAAATAGAACACACGAAATAAATCAATATGATTACGATTTAATGACTAGGTATGGTATGCAGACAAGAACAAAACAATGTCAGTTAAGTTCTGTGCAGGTGTATAAAATACAGGTGTATAAAATAGAGGTGTATACAGTATACAGATTCTAGTCGATAGATGTAGTTGTTGTGGTGGTGATTTAAGTCAAATCTTTCGTTGATAAAAACAGGTGTTATAACATCAGGCAGATAAGGCGATGACTTGTTATGTGCACCTTTATGTGGTTGGGGCGGCGTGGCCAAGCGGTAGAGTGCTGACCTTAAAGTCTCGAGTTCGAAACTGGGTTCCCTAAGTCCAACCATGTTAAGTAAAGTATAGACGGCTGGATACAAGTTCTGACCACATTATCCCTTCACCTTGCCGATGTTACAGAAACAGATGAGCTCTACTTCACCTGCCATATTGACCGTCAGGTCAAATAATAGTATCATAACTACTTTTTTCTTGCAATACTACCAGCAAAGTAATACATTCAAACAGTTCTGTATCTGTCACTATCTATAAATATAATTCTCTTCATGGAGACCATAGAAAACACCACGCAGCTTAGCCACCACCCTCATCCCCACTTGTCAGGTGAGCTGTGGTTCACCCCGAATGTTTACAATAGTAGAGTTGGTTCGAATACGTTACAGCTATTAGGGACATATAATTTAGTTTTTAAACGATTTGAAACTAGGGGGAGATAACTTTCTGCTTGATATTTTTATTGTCGTCTGTAAACGGCTGCTTTCACTGGGCGGGGTGGGGGTGGGTGGGGGAGGCAGGGGCGTGGGATAGTGTCGGATTCACAAATTATGAATTGTTGACACGTAGAAAATAACCAGAGGCGTAGCGACCCTTCCATTCCATTTGCACCCCCGCTCAAGATTTTGATTTGCACCCCCCTCAACCTTTCAATTTATTTTTCCAACCCATTTTGACGCCCCCTAAAGTCGGCGCCCGGGGACATATGTCCCCCCGCCCCCCCCCCCCTCCCCCTCGCTACGCTACTAAAAATTAAAACAACTAGATAGCAGCGTATGCTACGTCGCGGGTTAGCTCGTTATATTATATTATACCCAGTAATAGTAGAATTCGTTTGTCTTGTAATGGTGGCTAAAATAGCACCATATTTTAAACATGTTTTATAAGTTATGCATATCAATGATATCATATCCCGTAATACTACTATAGATTTGAACTGGAAATAATAATAAGAAAAAAAATTATTCTATTCTCCACAGCGATTAATTCGCTCTAAAAGTTGGTCTTTTTTAAAAAAAGTCAAACCCAACTGACCAGAGCTGACCGCCGCTGACCACAACCAACGATTTGACCTCAAGCGTTGCCATAGAGACAGTCACGTGATGCAGGCTCTGGTCGATAACTCCTCTCACCACGGCTACTCGAGCCAACCCTTCGAGTTATCGTTCCTGGGTGTGACCTTTGTTCGCAGACAGACGAGGTCAGCAGACATGGAGTCACAGCAGGTCGTGAAGGTCACGAGTGTACCACGTGACTTTGATAAAAACGAGGTCACTTTTTCAAAAATAGGGGACAATTGTGTAAATAGTTCCGCTCGGTTACAGAAGAGTTGTGAAACATTCCTTGAGTTACCTTCCTTAGAAAATAGTTTGTCAAGAGTTATTGTTAATGAAACGGAGTTATCTCCCTTGCCATGTGCAGGTAGAAGATTCACACCCGTCGAAATCCATGAACACAATAGAGAAAATCAAGAAAACCGATTAATTTTATATAAAGGAAAAGTGTACGATAGTCAGCTAATAAAAAAGTCAATTTTATCATCGCTTCAGCATCGACCAGATAACGACCTATCGACTGTTGTTAACGACCAAGTTAACGACGACCTTGAAGATGATGCTTTAAATAAAACCCGTGTGTTAGCGGAGATGTTGATACAGTTTACCAGTTCGAACTTTGTGAGTTTAAACGTAACAAAAATGGACCTCTTTAATGAGGCCTTGTCGCCCTTTTGTGTTGGCGCCCTCTGTCGCCCAGGCGACGCTCGCTACTGGGAGGACATCCGGAGAAACGTCCGTCTGGTTTTGAACGATCTGATACGAGCAGACGCCGAAGACAGAATCTCCGTGTACGAACACGAGTACATGCGCCTGCTTCAACGCTGGATGAAGAAGTACCGAGACACTGATCCTAAGGGAGATAACCAACCTCCGGGGGACGGAAATCAGAGTGCTTTCCCTTTACCGGAAGACGTCGCTGAGAATAAAAATACCCTTCGCGAGTGGATGGAGACGTGGGACCGGTTCGATTTCCGGGTACCGGAAACGGGGGCCTGGTCGAGGTGTGATGAGGATACGGATTTTGATCTCGGTGATCCGGACGAGATTTTCGCGCGTTCTTTGAAATCCCACGTGGACCCGGCGCCGTTCGTGACCCACATTGATGGCGAGGCGGGGTGGGCGGTTATACCAGAGGGGTTGTTTGCAGACGACATCATGACGGAGGAGCAGAAGTGGACGGAGGAATTCAGGAGGAGCAGGTCGGACATGTTGGATTTGAAACGGATGGAACGACGGAGGATGAAACTCTTGAGATATTTTATAGACCGGTACAGACTGAGCCTATGCGAGGTACAGATTTATGCTGAGTGGTCTCAACGAATGCAGGACAGCGAGCGACAATTTTTGAGATTATGTTGAAGTGTTACAAATAATATATAAATTACATTTCCATATGCTTTAAAAAGTGATTTTTGTTGTTTAATTTTGTACTGGTGATGATTATCGTCGAGCTTATCCATGCACTTCACTACACTTTCCGGATCTTGTCCAGATAAGCCCCCCCCCCCCCCCACCCATCAAAAAAATTCCCCCCCCCCCCCGCAATAAAAAAAAGATTATAAAAAAGAGGATATGAAAGTTGCACCGTTAAATTTTATACAAGACAGTGAAATTGGAACATGTCATTAATAATTCGCATGAAAAGGTCTGTATTTTGATACCTTTAAAACCTAACCCCAATCCTATCCCCAAACCGTAACCCTAGAAGCGGTTGGGTTGTTTTTATGGCGTGTGTTAAAATATTCAAGTGTCTAGAGTCTAGACATCAGATATAGGTCACGCTTAACTTTTCGCCCGTGCACTTTTCTGCATTAGTGGCGGGGCTTATCCGACTATCCCTTCATATCTCGAGGTCTCGGAAACAGGTGAACTCTACTTCACCTGCACATTGGACCGTCAGGGTTGAAGGGGAATTTTATTTCTACTTTTGTTTTTATCAATACATATAATCCAAGAGACCTACCCATCCGCCCATCCTGTATCCCAATAATCACATCCCTGATCTGTGTATTAATCCCTAGGTCTAAGTGCACCCATGGTCGCTAGTATAATAAAGACGTGCACTCCTCATACTAATTAAAAATGCCGAGTGACCACCATTCGTTACCTCAAAACGGAAAAGTCTCAACAGTAATTTTATAAATTACTTTTAGACTTAATAATTATTAAGGTTATGATATTATAGTTGTTTTTTTTATTTTAGGATGACTGATATATACAGGCATGCGCAACAGACCAAATCAACACTCCACCCCCCCCCCCCCCCCCCCCCCCCCAACAGTCTGGTGAGCTGTGGTTCACGCCAAATGTTTAATACCGCAGAGATGGTCGAATTTGTGGCGGCTATTAGGGGCAGATAATTTAGTTTTTCCTCTGAGTATCTTAAGTTTTAAAATTGCATTCCCAATCCATAACACAGCTGTCAAGTTATTGAAAAGTAAATCCTTCTACTAGGTTCATATCAACACAGCCAGGCTGATATTTACGTTTTACCACCCCACCCCACTTCCCCCATCTGACTTTCGTTATCATGCAAGTGAGAGGCTTTTTTTCCCAAATAGCTGCATGATGAATTTAAATGTGATGTTCAAACTACTCAAAAAGTCTGAGTTTAGAACAAAGCGAAATGTTTGGCTAAAACAATGTCTAATAAAATAGAACATTGCGAGATAGAAGAAAATAATAAATCATTGGCCAACGACAAGGTAATACTAAACGCCAAAGAACGCTGGATCATAACACTCATCTGTATTGTCAGTAACATCCCAAAGTTATGCATTAATATTGTCATCATGTTTGCAGAGTTTTCCATTAATGGCAATTTTGGAGGCTTGTATAAGATTATTAACGTCATAAGGCAGAATTTCCAATGATGTTTTGTTGTAGTAATAAGTCTTTTAAAAAAATACTCGAATAATTTCAACTTTAGGGCTTTATATATGGCGATGTCCTCATAGATATTTCTGTAGTTACATGCACAAGATAATTCCAAAATACATTATGAAACACGAGTACATGTTAGTCTACCAATATTTAGAGAAGAAATTTCGTTAGATTACGCAACGAAGTCAATAAACATCTGACGAGTTTTACCAGCACATCGGTTTATGTAAATATTACTTAAGTAACGATTGCAAATTAAATTAACGCTACCATTATTTACGAAATTATAATTAGTTTGCATTCATATTATAACTTTACAAATTCACTATTATCATTACAAATAAAGCTATGTTTAATCCAAGGTGTGTTCAGATCCATAATAATTAAAGTCATGTCTGCAAGTATGTTTGACATCTATCAAGTTAAAAAAATGACAAAGTGAATCATTGATGAATGTTTAATGTCAGGAAAAAATGTGCGTGCCCTGTACTTAATATTAAAAACCTTGAAATAATCAAACAAAACATAACCTTTTTAATCAAACATAGAAAAATGTCGCGAAGAATTATCTATATTTGATTATTTTTAAACGCGAATTTACTGTAATTAAGACTAAATCAAAGATAAAATTAAAAATTACATATTTTTCTAATTATAAAAGCTACACGTATAGAAGAAAGCAAAAACTATAATATGTTAATACGTCTGCATTTAATTTAGAGTTATTGGTATACAATAATCTAAATATACGCAAAAATATAACTAAGGAATACTTTTAATAGAAAAAAGAGAGGACACATTTTCAAACTCAAACAAATTGTTTTAAAATAAGGCATTCGATACTTATAATCTGAATTTCTTTTGTAAAAGTTTAGTTTCTAATGATATAATACTTTGTTAAGTTTTAATATATATATAACAGCTAAGTAGAGGGAACATAGGAAAATATTAACTCACAAAAAGAAATGTTGAGATCCACAACAAATATGATAACAAGTGTCACCGAAAATATATCCAACGTTTCGATACAACACTTTTCGTTTGAAACAACGGTGCTATTTATGTGTCGGGGTGTCATTTCATTCTTTGGTCTTATTGGAGATTTTTTGACGATTCGGACATTTCTCGCCATGGGACCTAAAGATGGAGTAACGCTTTCATTTTTGTTACTCTCTGTCTCAGATTTTTTGTATCTTTTCTGTATGACGACTTCATCAATCTCTTACATATTTATAACCATCGAATTGATGACATCATTTAAGATATATTTTCCTGTGGATCCGTACGGGATAAAGACCTATATATCAAACTGTGGGGGAGATTTTTATGCCAACACATTACTCACCCTGACATTTCTGTCCATTTGTCGTTGCCTAAGTGTCGCCAAACCTTTGTGGTTTAGACATAAACTCGGGACAAAAAAAATTTCAGTTATGATTTTCTCAATCAGTGCAGCGTTTTGTTTAGGAACAAGTGTTCCCATCTTAGCTCTGATGGGGATAATACCGCTCTATGATGCCAGGATTAACACCACAAGACCTTCGTTGTGGATTTCACCAGAAAGGAAATGGGTGACGTATATCGTCTGGCCAGTTAGAGGATCCTTGCTTCCACTTATAGTTCAGGTTATTCTAATCATTACTTCTATGGTAATGAACAGATTCCTAAAATCAGCGTTGGCATTTCGTCAGAAGCACACTTCATCATCTTTAGCATCTACTCAATCAGCTCTGTTTAAAATAAACGACACAAAAACAAACGACAAAGCAATGTTAAACGAGAACGGCAAGTTAAGTGGCAAGGAACTTCAGATCATCAAACAAATGATTATCCTGTCTGTGGTGTTTATCGTCAGCTGTACACCAAAGATGATGTTCAACGCTGCTGCCTTCATCTATCCAGAATTTTCTATCAACGGGAAATATGGTAGACTGTATGAGACAGTCAGCGCAGTAAGAGAAGCATTTCAAATGCTGTATTCGTGTTCCAATGTTTTCATCTACTACACTTACAATTCCAAGTTCAGAGATGTGATTAGGAGAAAATTGGCAAGAATTATTTAGGTTGTGTTTAATCGTGTTTTACTGGACTAAGTGTAGGGCCTGTGTCTCCATTATCTAGTTAACCAACTAACAAGATTAATGTGATGTTTAGTTAAGTGATATTAACATAAAACAATTTGAACAACGACGTTTTTAATATTATTATCATGAGGATAAGATACGGTATTTCATAACAAAAGCGTTGACGAATTAACCGTTTGTTAAAAGAAAACTGTTTAGAAGAAATTTAAACAAATAATTATACAGCCACGTACATTTAGAAAGTATATCAACAGTGATCATTTCGTATATATAAATATATCAATAATAAAGAACCAACATAAACATCGTGAACATACTTAGGGAGACTAAACAGCGGATGTAAAGTCGCATACATGAACATGACTGAAAGAAACATATAGAACTACAAAAACAAACAGGCTAAACTTACTATATGATTCGAACAACAGGTCAGAATTTAACAACACATGTATGCACAATTCCTGCAGCGTATATTGTTTTGCTGTTCATTTTTCTGAGATCTAAACAGTTATCAATAAATAACATTATAGTTGGAAAAACTAAAGCAATGGAGCGCTGCTTGTCTTTTCGAAACGGACTTGCTATAAAACACCCAGGATAAACCAATTGATTATTTAATGCAGTTTATAGATCTAGCAGCGAGTAAACAAGCATGAAGGACGCAGAAACAAAATTGTTTGGTTGTTCTGAAGTTTATGTGTTTCACATATATAGTAGTGGCTTTTCTGTAGTGTAAAATACCATTATTCTAATTTTACAATTGGATTGAACTTCTTACGTGTTTAATGATCAGGTATTGGTTTTTCTTTTTTTTTTACTTTTTAAATTGTCTGCGATAATTTGAGTTATATTTGTAGTATACAAATATATTAGTGCTAGAGTTGAAGACTTGAAAAGTGTTCCGTAAGCATTCTAACAAATTACTCTTTAAATTGTCTGCGATAATTTGAGTTATATTTGTAGTATACAAATATATTAGTGCTAGAGTTGATGACTTGAAAAGTGTCCCTCAAGCATTCTAACAAATTGATGAACAAATCACTCGTCCTCTCGCAGTGGCGTAGCCAGGATCGTCTCAAGGGGGGGGGGGGGATTCCAATTTTTACCTGGGGACAAACTTTCGATTTGCACCCCCCCTCAAACTTTTGATTTGCACCCCCCCCCCCCCCTCAAACTTTCGATTTGCACCCCCCCCTCAAACTTTCGATTTGCAACCCCCCTCATACTTTTTCTATATGCCGAGGGGTCTATGGGGGGGAGGGTTTATGACCCCCCCTAACCCCCCTGCCTACGCCACTGTCCTCTCGAGGGTATATGGCGGTAGGAAAATTTTCGTTGTGTTGAATACGGCCTTTGGTAAGTTGCAAATGATAAAAATTGTCGTGATGATGAACAGAGTTTCTTCC